GACAGTGTCACCGTACACCAAATATGTACATTTACTATATGTAGGATGATCAGGACCATGGACAGTGTCCACCACACACCAAATATGTACATTTACTATATGTAGGATGATCAGGACCATGGACAGTGTCACCATACACCAAATATGTACATTTACTATATGTAGGATGATCAGGACCATGGACAGTGTCACCGTACACCAAATATGTACATTTACTATATGTCTGATGATCAGGACCATGGACAGGGTCACCATAAACCAAATATGTACATTTACTGTATGTCTGATGATCAGGACCATGGACAGTGTCACCGTACACCAAATATGTACATTTACTATATGTCTGATGATCAGGACCATGGACAGGGTCACCATAAACCAAATATGTACATTTACTGTATGTCTGATGATCAGGACCATGGACAGTGTCCACCACATGTACATCTACACACACACGGACACTTTATTCGGTACACATGTTCAATTGCTTGGCAACACAAATTGCTAATCAGCCAATCAAATGGCAGCAACTCAAAGCATTTAGGCATCTAGACGTGGTGAAGTCAACTTGCTGAATTTCAAACCGAGCATCAGAATGGGAAAGAAAGGGGATTTAAGTGACTTTGAATGTGGCATGGTTGTTGGTGCCAGACAGGCTGGTCTAACTATCTCAAAAACTGCTGATCTACTGGGATTTTCACGTACAACCATCTCTAGGGTTTACAGAGATGGTCCGAAAAAGAGAAAATATCCAGTAAGCATCAGCTGTCTGGGTGAAAATGCCTTATTGATGTCAGAGATGAATGGGCAGACTAGTTGGAGATGACAGAAAGGCAACAGTAACTCAACCATTCGTTACAACCAAGGTATGCAGAATACCATCTCTGAATGCACAACACCTCGAGCTACAACAGCAGAAGACCACAATGGGTGCCACTCCTGTCAGAACAAAAAATAAAGGCTACAATTCGCACAGGCTCACCAAAATTGGACAATAGAAGATTGGAAAAAAACGTTGCCTGGTCTGATGAATCTCGATTCCAGCTGTGACATTCAGATGGTTGGGTCAGAATTTGGCGTAAACAACATGAAAGCTGGTGGTGGTGTTGTCATGGTGTGGGGGATCCATCCTGCCTTGTATCAATGGTTCAGGCTGGTGGTGTCATGGTGTGGGCGATCCATCCTGCCTTGTATCAATGGTTCAGGCTGGTGGTGGTGGTGTCATGGTGTGGGGGATCCATCCTGCCTTGTATCAATGGTTCAGGCTGGTGGTGGTGGTGTCATGGTGTGGGGGATCCATCCTGCCTTGTATCAATGGTTCAGGCTGGTGGTGGTTGTGTCATGGTGTTTGTGGTTCCATCCTGCCTTGTATCGACAGTTCAGAATGGTGGTGGTGGTGTCATTGTGTGGTGGTTCCATCCTGCCTTGTATCCATTGTTCAGGCTGGTGGTGTCATGGTGTGGGGGATCCATCCTGCCTTGAATCCATTGTTCAGGCTGGTGGTGGTGGTGTCATGGTGTGGCAGATCCATCCTGCCTTGTATCGACGGTTCAGCCTGGTGGTGGTGGTGTCATGGTGTGGTGGTTCCATCCTGCCTTGTATCAATGGTTCAGACTGGTGGTGGTGGTGTCATGGTGTGGTGGTTCCATCCTGCCTTGTATCAATGGTTCAGACTGGTGGTGGTGGTGTCACGGTGTGGGGGGGATATTTCCTTGGCACACTTTGGGCCCCTTAGTACCAATTGAGCATTGTTTAAACTCCACAACCTACCTGAGTATTGTTGCTGACCATGTCCACCCCTTTATGACTCCAGTGTCCCCATCTTCTGATGGCTCCTTCCAGCAGGATAATGCACCATGTCACAAAGCCCAAATCATCTCCAACATGACAATGAGGTCACTGGACTCCAATGGCCTTCACAGTCACCAGATCCCCATCCAATAGAGCACCTTTGGGATGTGGTGGAACGGGAGATTGGCATCATGTATGTGCAGCCGACAAATCTGCAGCAACTGTGTGATATCATCATGTCAAGATGGACCACAAGCTCAGAGGAATGTTTCCAACACCTTGTTGAACCTATGCCACGAAGAATGAAGGCCGTTCTGAAGGCAAAGTGGGTCCAACCCGGGACTAGCAAGGTGTACATAACAAAGTGGCCGGTAAGTGTATGTCTGATCATCAGGACCATGGACAGTATTCACCCCATACTGGATATATACATTTATGTCTGATGATCAGGACCACGGACAGTGCCACCACATTTTGGATATATATATTTATGTCTGACCAGGGCCAAGGACAGTGCCATTACATATATATACAGTTATGTCTGATGTTCAGGACCACAGACAGTGCCACCACATCCCGGATATATAGTTATATCTGATGTTCAGGACCACAGACAGTGCCACCACATCCCGGATATATAGTTATATCTGATGTTCAGGACCACAGACAGTGCCACCACATCCCGGATATATAGTTATATCTGATGTTCAGGACCACATACAGTGCCACCACATCCCGGATATATACAATTATGTCTGATGTTCAGGACCACATACAGTGCCACCACATCCCAGTTATATACAGTTATATCTGATGTTCAGGACCACATACAGTGCCACCACATCCCAGTTATAAACAGTTATGTCTGATGTTCAGGACCACAGACAGTGCCACCACATCCCGGATATATACAGTTATGTCTGATGTTCAGGACCACAGACAGTGCCACCACATCCCAGTTATATACGGTTATATCTGATGTTCAGGACCACATACAGTGCCACCACATCCCAGTTATATACAGTTATGACTGATGTTCAGGACCACAGACAGTGCCACCACATCCCGGATATATAGTTATGTCTAATGTTCAGGACCATGGACAGTGCCACCACATCCTGGATATATAGTTATGTCTGATGTTCAGGACCACAGACAGTGCCACCACATCCTGGATATATAGTTATGTCTGATGTTCAGGACCACAGACAGTGCCACCACATCCTGGATATATAGTTATGTCTGATGTTCAGGACCACATACAGTGCCACCACATCCTGGATATATAGTTATGTCTGATGTTCAGGACCACAGACAGTGCCACCACATCCCGGATATATAGTTATGTCTGATGTTCAGTACCACGGACAGTGCCACCACATCCTGGATATATAGTTATGTCTGATGTTCAGGACCACGGACAGTGCCACCACATCCTGGATATATAGTTATGTCTGATGTTCAGGACCATGGACAGTGCCACCACATCCTGGATATATAGTTATGTCTGATGTTCAGGACCACAGACAGTGCCACCACATCCTGGATATATAGTTATGTCTGATGTTCAGGACCACAGACAGTGCCACCACATCCTGGATATATAGTTATGTCTGATGTTCAGGACCACATACAGTGCCACCACATCCTGGATATATAGTTATGTCTGATGTTCAGGACCACAGACAGTGCCACCACATCCCGGATATATAGTTATGTCTGATGTTCAGTACCACGGACAGTGCCACCACATCCTGGATATATAGTTATGTCTGATGTTCAGGACCACGGACAGTGCCACCACATCCTGGATATATAGTTATGTCTGATGTTCAGGACCACGGACAGTGCCACCACATCCCGGATATATAGTTATGTCTGATGTTCAGGACCACGGACAGTGCCACCACATCCTGGATATATAAATTTATATGTGATCAGGACCATGGACTGAGCCACCACTGCCACCACCAGTATGTGCTGGCACTGGCCGTGATCCTGAACACCAGACATAACTGTATGTATCCGGGATGTGCTGGCACTGTCCATGGTCCTTATCACACATCTAGATAGATAGATGCCACAACACACTGATATACAGTACTGTGCTGTGAAAAAGTATTTGCTCCCTTTCTGGGCTTTTGTTTTTGTCAAACTTAAAAGTATTACTAAACCCCCAACAGTCCAATAAGTCTGTAGATGCAGGAAAGCATGCGTGTGTTTATACTCACTGTGGAACCTAAGGGGTTAATCCTCTGCACTGTGTAAAAAGGATGTTTGATCCTGTCTTCTCTGATCCTCCCCTTCTTCCAGTGCCCCCCTCTTATCTCCTGATGAGACATATCATATGGAGTCACTCTGCACATGCTCGATTAAGTGTGTATTGCTAGAGAGGTTTTTTTTTTCTTAGGAGAGAGCATGTGATCAACACAGGGCCAATCAGCACTGTCCAGATAGATCAGGTGTTCTGCATCCTCCTAGAGCAGAATTAAAACTCCTCCTACAAGCTTTAAGCAGTGCTCTGCTGGATACTGATAGAAGTCACAAGACTGCTCTAACTGCTGATGAGAAAAGGGATTTATCAGTTTATATTTACTAAAATAATTGTATTTCCATGTTCTGTGTACTGTGGGAGACCAGATATAGTGAATGCAGGGTCCTGGGAGAGCGGATATAGTGAATGCAGGGTCCGGGGAGAGCGGATATAGTGAATGCAGGGTCCGGGGAGAGCGGATATAGTGAATGCGGGGTCCGGGGAGAGCGGATATAGTGAATGCAGGGTCCGGGGAGAGCGGATATAGTGAATGCGGGGTCCGGGGAGAGCGGATATAGTGAATGCGGGGTCCGGGGAGAGCGGATATAGTGAATGCGGGGTCCGGGGAGAGCGGATATAGTGAATGCGGGGTCCGGGGAGAGCGGATATAGTGAATGCGAGGTCCTGGGAGAGCGGATATAGTGAATGCGGGGTCCGGGGAGAGCGGATATAGTGAATGCAGGGTCCGGGGAGAGCGGATATAGTGAATGCAGGGTCCGGGGAGAGCGGATATAGTGAATGCAGGGTCCGGGGAGAGCGGATATAGTGAATGCAGGGTCCGGGGAGAGCGGATATAGTGAATGCAGGGTCCGGGAGAGCGGATATAGTGAATGCAGGGTCCGGGGAGAGCGGATATAGTGAATGCAGGGTCCGGGGAGAGCGGATATAGTGAATGCAGGGTCCGGGGAGAGCGGATATAGTGAATGCAGGGTCCGGGGAGAGCGGATATAGTGAATGCAGGGTCCGGGGAGACCGGATATAGTGAAATGCAGGGTCCGGGGAGACCGGATATAGTGAATGCAGGGTCCGGGGAGAGCGGATATAGTGAATGCAGGGTCCGGGGAGACCGGATATAGTGAATGCGGGGTCCGGGGAGAGCGGACATAGTGAATGCGGGGTCCGGGGAGACCGGATATAGTGAATGCGGGGTCCGGGGAGAGCGGATATAGTGAATGCGGGGTCCAGGGAGAGCAGATATAGTGAATGCGGGGTCCGGGGAGAGCGGATATAGTGAATGCGGGGTCCAGGGAGAGCCAATATAGTGAATGCGGGGTCCGGGGAGAGCAGATATAGTGAATGCAGGGTCCGGGGAGAGCAGATATAGTGAATGCAGGGTCCGGGGAGAGCCGATATAGTGAATGCAGGGTCCGGGGAGAGCGGATATAGTGAATGCAGGGTCCGGGGAGAGCGGATATAGTGAATGCAGGGTCCGGGGAGAGCGGATATAGTGAATGCAGGGTCCGGGGAGAGCGGATATAGTGAATGCAGGGTCCGGGGAGAGCGGATATAGTGAATGCAGGGTCCGGGGAGAGCGGATATAGTGAACGCGGGGTCCAGGGAGAGCGGATATAGTGAATGCAGGGTCTGGGGAGACCAGATATAGTGAATGCGGGGTCCAGGGAGAGCGGATATAATGAATGCAGGGTCCGACGTAACAGATTTAGTGAATGCAGGGTCCGGGGAGAGCGGATATAGTGAATGCAGGGTCCGGGGAGAGCGGATATAGTGAATGCAGGGTCCGGGGAGAGCGGATATAGTGAATGCAGGGTCCGGGGAGAGCGGATATAGTGAATGCAGGGTCCGGGGAGAGCGGATATAGTGAATGCAGGGTCCGGGGAGAGCGGATATAGTGAATGCAGGGTCCAGGGAGAGCAGATATAGTGAATGCAGGGTCCGGGGAGAGCGGATATAGTGAATGCAGGGTCCGGGGAGAGCGGATATAGTGAATGCAGGGTCCGGGGAGAGCGGATATAGTGAATGCAGGGTCCGGGGAGAGCGGATATAGTGAATGCAGGGTCCGGGGAGAGCGGATATAGTGAATGCGGGGTCCGGGGAGAGCGGATATAGTGAACGCGGGGTCCGGGAGAGCGGATATAGTGAACGCGGGGTCCGGGGAGAGCGGATATAGTGAACGCGGGGGTCCGGGGAGAGCGGATATAGTGAACGCGGGGTCAGGGGAGAGCGGATATAGTGAACGCAGGGTCAGGGGAGAGCTTATATAGTGAACGCAGGGTCAGGGGAGAGCGGATATAGTGAATGCAGGGTCCAAGGAGACCGGATATAGTGAATGCAGGGTCCGGGGAGACCAGATATAGTGAATGCAGGGTCCAAGGAGACCGGATATAGTGAATGCAGGGTCCGGGGAGAGTGGATATAGTGAATGCAGGGTCCGGGGAGAGCGGATATAGTGAATGCAGGGTCTGGGGAGACCAGATATAGTGAATGCGGGGTCCAGGGAGAGCGGATATAATGAATGCAGGGTCCGACGTAACAGATTTAGTGAATGCAGGGTCCGGGGAGAGCGGATATAGTGAATGCAGGGTCCGGGGAGACCGGATATAGTGAATGCAGGGTCCGGGGAGACCGGATATAGTGAATGCAGGGTCCGGGGAGAGCGGATATAGTGAATGCAGGGTCCGGGGAGACCGGATATAGTGAATGCAGGGTCCGGGGAGAGCGGATATAGTGAATGCAGGGTCCGGGGAGAGCAGATATAGTGAATGCAGGGTCCGGGGAGAGCAGATATAGTGAATGCAGGGTCCGGGGGAGAGCGGATATAGTGAATGCAGGGTCCGGGGAGAGCGGATATAGTGAATGCAGGGTCCGGGGAGAGCGGATATAGTGAATGCAGGGTCCGGGGAGAGCGGATATAGTGAATGCGGGGTCCGGGGAGAGCGGATATAGTGAACGCGGGGTAGGGGGGAGAGCGGATATAGTGAACGCGGGGTCCGGGGAGAGCGGATATAGTGAACGCGGGGTCAGGGGAGAGCGGATATAGTGAACGCGGGGTCAGGGGAGAGCGGATATAGTGAACGCAGGGTCCGGGGAGAGCGGATATAGTGAATGCAGGGTCCAAGGAGACCGGATATAGTGAATGCAGGGTCCGGGGAGACCGGATATAGTGAATGCAGGGTGCAAGGAGACCGGATATAGTGAATGCAGGGTCCGGGGAGAGTGGATATAGTGAATGCAGGGTCCGGGGAGAGTGGATATAGTGAATGCAGGGTCCGGGGAGAGTGGATATAGTGAATGCAGGGTCCAGGGAGACCAGATATAGTGAATGCAGGGTCCTGGGTTTAGTAACACTTAACAGATGTAACAGATTTAGTGAATGCAGGGTCCAGGGAGAGCCGATATAGTGAATGCAGGGTCCGGGGAGAGCGGATATAGTGAATGCAGGGTCCGGGGAGAGCGGATATAGTGAATGCAGGGTCCGGGGAGACCAGATATAGTGAATGCAGGGTCCTGGGTTTAGTAACACTTTAAATTATTTAAATCAAACAAATTTTAATATGTTACACAAAGATAATCCGAGTAAATACAAAATACAGTTTGTAAATGATGATTTTGTTTATTAGGGAAATAAGCGATAAGCTGTCCAAACCTGCATGGCCCTATGTGAAAAAGGTTGCCTCCCCTTGTCAAATCATGAATGAACTGTGATCAACCACATTTTCTGGAAAGAGGAGTTAAATGTCACTTGCCACACCCAGGCCTGATTACTGCAAGACCTGTTGAATCAAGAAATTCACTTAAATAGAAGCAAAGTGAAGAACACTAAAAGATCTCAAAAAGCAACACATCATGCCACGATCTAAAGAAATTCAAGAACAGATAGGAAACAAAGTAACTGACATGTATCAGTCTGGAAAGGGTTACAAAGCCATTCTAAGGCTTTGGGACTCCAGCAAACCACTGTGAGAGCCATTATCCACAAATGGACAAAACTGGGAACAGTGGTGAATCTTCCCAGGAGTGGTTGGCCTATCGAAATAATCCAAGAGCACAACTCATCCAGGTCATAAAGGAACCCGGAACAACATTTAAAGAACTGCAGGCCTCAGTTAACCTCAGTGTTCATGATTCAACAATAAGAAAGAGACCGGGCAAAAATGGCCTCCATGGGAGAGTTCTAAGCCCAAAGCCACTGCTGACCAAAAAGAACACAAAGGCTCGTCTCACATTTGCCAAAAAACATCATGATTCTCCCCAAGACGTTTGGGCAAATATTCTGTGGACTAATAAGATACGCCAAACTTTTTGGAAGATACGCGTACCTTACATCTGGAGTAAAATGAACACGGCATTTCATAAAAAGAATATCATACCAACAGTCAAACATGGTGGTGGTAGTGTGATGGACTGGGTTCAGGACCTGGAGGACTTACCATCATTGATGGAACTGTGAATTCTTAGCTCTACCAGGAAATCCTGAAGGAGAATGTCCAGCCATCAGTTCCTGACCTCAAGCTGAAGAGCACTTGGGTTATGCAGCGGGACAATGATCCAAAACACACCAGAAAGTCCACCTCTGACTAAAAACGTTTTAGCGCGGCCTAGTCAAAGTCCAGACTTAAATCTGATTGAACTTAAGCAGGCCGTTCATGCTGGAAAACCCTCCAAGGTGGCTGAATTAAAACAATTCTGCAAATCAGAGTGGGCCAAAATTCCACCACAGCGACGTGAGAGACTCATCGCCAGTTATCGCAAACGCTTGATTGCAGTTGTTGCTGCCAAGGGTGGCGCACCCACTTATTAGGTTTAGGGGGGTAATTACTTTTTCACATAGGACCAGGCAGGTTTGTACAGCTTTTTTCCCTTAATAAATTAAATCCTCTTTTAAAAAATGCATTTTGTATCCGCCACCCACCTCTGCCAATCCCTCCACTGGCTTCCGATTGCCCAACGGATAAAATTCAAAATGCTAACACTGACGTACAAAGCTGTTCATAATACTGCTCCGAACTACCTCACCGACCTGATATCCATCTACCACCCAACCCGTACTCTCCGCTCCTCACAAGACCTCCTACTCTCTAGTTCCCCGGTCTCCTCCTCCCATGCCCGTTTCCAGGACTTCTCCAGGGCTTCCCCCATCCTCTGGAACTCCCTACCCCAATCCATCAGACTATCACCTACTCTCCTCATCTTTAGGCGCACCCTGAAAACCCACCTCTTCAGGGAAGCCTACCCCGCCCTCAACTAATTGTCGATCTCCTCCACTCTTCCTACCACTCCATCCCCCACAGCTATCTCCTCCTGTGCCACCATCCGCTCCCTCCTAGATTGTAAGCCCCAAGGAGCAGGGCCCTCGAACCCCTCGTGTATTGTATTGTTACTGTACTGTCTCATGTATTGTCTCCCTCCTAGATTGTAAGCTCCAAGGAGCCGGGCCCTCGAACCCCTCGTGTATTGAATCGTATTGTTACTGTACTGTCTCATGTATTGTCTCCCTCCTAGATTGTAAGCTCCAAGGAGCAGGGCCCTCGAACCCCTCGTGTATTGTATTGTTACTGTACTGTCTCATGTATTGTCTCCTTCCTAGATTGTAAGCTCCAAGGAGCCGGGCCCTTGAACCCCTCGTGTATTGTATTGTTACTGTACTGTCTCATGTATTGTCTCCCTCCTAGATTGTAAGCTCCAAGGAGCAGGGCCCTCGAACCCCTCGTGTATTGTATTGTTACTGTACTGTCTCATGTATTGTCTCCCTCCTAGATTGTAAGCTCCAAGGAGCAGGGCCCTCGAACCCCTCGTGTATTGAATCGTATTGTTACTGTACTGTCTCATGTATTGTCTCCCTCCTAGATTGTAAGCTCCAAGGAGCCGGGCCCTCAAACCCCTCGTGTATTGTATTGTTACTGTACTGTCATGTATTGTCTCCCTCCTAGATTGTAAGCTCCAAGGAGCAGGGCCCTCGAACCCCTCGTGTATTGAATCGTATTGTTACTGTACTGTCTCATGTATTGTCTCCCTCCTAGATTGTAAGCTCCAAGGAGCAGGGCCCTCGAACCCCTCGTGTATTGTATTGTTACTGTACTGTCTCATGTATTGTCTCCCTCCTAGATTGTAAGCTCCAAGGAGCAGGGCCCTCGAACCCCTCGTGTATTGAATCGTATTGTTACTGTACTGTCTCATGTATTGTCTCCCTCCTAGATTGTAAGCTCCAAGGAGCCGGGCCCTCGAACCCCTCGTGTATTGTATTGTTACTGTACTGTCTCATGTATTGTCTCCTTCCTAGATTGTAAGCTCCAAGGAGCAGGGCCCTCGAACCCCTCGTGTATTGAATCGTATTGTTACTGTACTGTCTCATGTATTGTCTCCCTCCTAGATTGTAAGCTCCAAGGAGCAGGGCCCTCGAACCCCTCGTGTATTGAATCGTATTGTTACTGTACTGTCTCATGTATTGTCTCCCTCCTAGATTGTAAGCTCCAAGGAGCAGGGCCCTCGAACCCCTCGTGTATTGAATCGTATTGTTACTGTACTGTCTCATGTATTGTCTCCCTCCTAGATTGTAAGCTCCAAGGAGCCGGGCCCTCAAACCCCTCGTGTATTGTATTGTTACTGTACTGTCTCATGCATTGTCTCCCTCCTAGATTGTAAGCTCCAAGGAGCAGGGCCCTCGAACCCCTCGTGTATTGAATCGTATTGTTACTGTACTGTCTCATGTATTGTCTCCCTCCTAGATTGTAAGCTCCAAGGAGCCGGGCCCTCAAACCCCTCGTGTATTGAATCGTATTGTTACTGTACTGTCTCATGTACTGTAATGTGCAGCGCTGAGCAAACTGTTGGCACTACATAAATCCTGTATAATAATAATAATTTTGTATTTACTCGGGTTATCTCTGTGTAAAGTTAAAATGTGTTTGATGACCGGAATCATTTACGTGTGACAGATGCACAAAAAAAATCAAGAAGGGGGCAAATACTTCTTCACAGCACAGTATACATTTCTATCTGATGATCAGGACCATGGACAGAGTCACAACATACCAGATATCTACATTGATGTCTGATAATGAAGATGAAGGACAGTGTCGCCACAAATATGGAATAACTGGGACAGAGGATTACCCCCCAATATATCGGACATGAAAAGCGGTAGAGTGCAGCGTAGTAACATACGAGAATGGCTCCCAGCCTACAGAAGAAGAGAAAGGTGAAATGGTCCAGCATAGGGAACAAGAATAATGCAGCCTTGAAAAGATGGATGTATTGAAGGGCAATGGAGAGACGAATGGAGGAATTCCTCCGGAGACGGGGGGATAAGGACGTGTCACCAGCTGTGTACTGTCATTTGGGATGTGAGAAGGGCAGTAACCCATGAAGATCAACCTATCCAGCTGTGTAATGTAAAGGATAGATAAGAAATATGAAGAATTTAGGAGTAACAGCACATGCACCATCTCCAGAATTGTACCACCTTCTTCCAGCACCCTTTTACTACCACAGCATATTTTCCCAATTTTTTCTTTTTTTTTGCACACATGATAAAATGTACATTTTTTTAAACATAAAAACATGCTTAAAACCCCCAAACTTTCTATATTTTCTAAAACTGCAAAAAATAAAAACAATTTGCAATTTCTATGTTGCACAATATTATCTCAACCGGTTATCAAATCTATATTTTCAGGAAAAAGGCATTCAAATCAGGCAGGCAGTAGTTACATCCCGGGCCCCATCAGGTCAGCAGTGGGGCCTGGGGCCTGCATGTTTCAAGGCCTATAGGCCTGGAGAAGTCATCAGTTTCCCAGCCAGTGGGTAGAGTATGACTTCCACAGCAGTGGGGCCTGGGCCCTGCATGTTTCAAGGCCTGTAGGCCTGGAGAAGTCATCAGTTTCCCAGCCAGTGGGTAGAGTATGACCTCCACAGCAGTGGGGCCTGGGCCCTGCATGTTTCAAGGCCTGGAGAAGCCATCAGTTTCCCAGTCAGTGGGTAGAGTATGACGTACACAGCAGTGGGGCCTGGGCCCTGCATGTTTCAAGGCCTATAGGCCTGGAAACGTCATCAGTTTCTCAGCCAGTGGGTAAAGTATGACTTCCACAGCAGTGGGGCCTGGACTCTGCATGTTTCAAGGCCTATAAGCCTGGAGAAGCCATCAGTTTCCCAGTCAGTGGGTAGAGTATGACCTC